GTTATTCCTATTATTATTGCGTAGAACAAAAGTACAATAATAATATTACTAAAAGAGAAAATAGATTGAAATTACCCAAAACATATCACTGTTTTTAACTCAAGTACTAATTGTCAGAAAACACCCCCGTACAAGAGGTCTTTGTCATGCCTCAGTGATCTACTGGATAACACTCTAACACTTGAAGTGATGGGTGCTGCATTTGAGCTACACTGAGAACAACACTCAATGGATTGCAGGCACATCCAGATGACGAGTCACAAATAAGAGGAAACATGTGTCAAGCTGGATTCCACTGCTAGTCACCACCAAGTAAATTGCAAAATAATCAATTAATAGTTGTCAAGGTATATTATCACCATATAACACCGTATGATATTGACATCAGAAAATACCCTAACCTTTTCTTGTACACAAACTCGACAGCGCAGGCAATCTGCTTCACTGGGGAATAAGAAAATAAAGAGAGAGAATTACCTATGTTGCTTTTTGAAATCAACAGAAGTAATGGTAGTTGATATACCATTGTTGAGAAACCATCATACTCGAATAGATGCTTCGATCTCCCCCCGTATATCTGTCAAGATAGGCTTGATAAATTGTTTCAGTAGTTAAGCTAGGAGTCTAACTATCAAGTAAGTAAATCTAAATAGGGAACATAACACATTGACAAAACATAACTACCTACTAACTACCCTCTGAATTTTACTGTGAGGAAGTGAAACAACGATGCCAGTAAAAATTGCAGCATGCTTAAACAGAAATTTAAATCTTCTGTGGTTTCACCATATGAAGAAAGGATATCAGAAAGCGTAGGTAGGATTCTTAGCAATGCGGAGACCAGAACAGTATTTGAGCCCACAAACTCATTCATTTATTCATTCATTTTCGCGGCTGAATCAACCATAAGGTTCTGAGGGAGAACAGTCGCTATTCGTATCCAGTTCAAGTATCTCATTGCGTTATTATCGTTTGTCTATTGATTATTATTCACTCAGTCACTTCAGAAATAAAATGTGCCTGAGTAGCCGAGTAGCCGAGTACTTTTATACGCCCAATAATACAATGAATGTGACTCACATTCCAGCATAATAAATGTACTGGGATGAGTTGCATTATTATTATTATTATTATTATTATTATTATTATTATTATTATTATTATTGTATGAAGTCGGTAAAAGTAAAATGGTGAACTCTGATACTGTCATACAGCATACAAGGATAATGTCTATAACAGACGACGGATAAAAATTGAACAACAGCAGATTTATGCGTCAAAAATAGACAGATATAAGAATGCAGAACTTTAAAAAACTGCCTCAGTTCAGTGTAACAATTAAAGAGGAAATCAGCTGAAACAGAAAGATATTCGAACAAATAATCACTACATAATACATTGGCACATACATTTAGAAGAAATTCTTGCTTGTAAGTAGTAAAGTTTCTGTAGATACCTCATAATGTTGCCAGCATGCGTAATACCAACCTAGTATTCATGCTACTAATGATGGATATGAGTCAGTGGTAAAATTCAGGATTCGCGCTACTTCTTATTTGGGACTTGTCAGTGGAATGTACCTGCCTCCCAGTGAGTAATGTTCTGTCCCCACCAAGACTTGAACCCAAGACAAATTACTTCAAACGCCAGAACGTTACCCAGCGGGCCACTATGTTCTCAAGCTATACCATCAAAATATACCAGTCGGACAAGTAATGGCCATTGTGACTCAGTAGCTTGGCAGATAGCGCTCTGGTGTTTAAAACGATTGGTCCTGGGTTCGAGTCTTAGTGTGAACAACACCATTCCCTGGGTGGCTGGTACGTCAAGCTAACACATCCCAAACAGCATGAAACTTATATCACTATTCATCGTTAATATCAAAACTTGAAATACTAGCAATATGGAAACATCGGCACAGGAACCCATATGCCAATAGGGGGTGGTCAACTCGGGAGATTACACGCCATATCACCTGTTATTTATGCCTTGAATATAAACCATATCTTCAAACTGAAACAAAGTATAAGAGAAGTCTTACGACGCCAATGTAAAAAGTCACCTTATCTGTGGCTGGGCTGTATAATAAACTTCTAAACTGTTGAACCACACCTTTTTGTAGTTATCTACCGTCATAGTAGAGTGTATTTTTATCACTGCATATAGCATTTTAAGATGATGATGATTTATAGTTCAGGTGATTTTGGTGATGTTACTTTTATCAGCTGGATTGCTTTATCATAAAGTTCGCGTGATCATTCCAGACAACATTGTCAGTAACAACTGCGATATCAAACAGTATGTATGCATTCATAGACGAAAACTTAATGCGCTTATTCGATTGGAGGGGGTGTGTGTGATGTATCTGCATAAATCTGAGCGTGAGTTCACTTCGAATACTCTTTACACTCCTAAAAAGTGTGTAGTAATTATAGAGACTGAAGAATTATCAATAGCAAGACATAAAATAACCACAACAAACAAGCAAATACAAAATGAGTAGGTGTTTTTACATCTGTTGGTGTGTGACAAATTCTGCAAATGTAAATCAGATGACTTGTGAATGGGTACTGTGGACAAACAAAAAACAAAAATCAGCTCCTTTCACCTCATCACTTTATCGAGAAAATGTCTTTGTCTTTGTTTTTACCACATTTCATAGATGTTGATAATTTCGTTTTTTTTCTTAACAATTAACCCATTAGATGAAATATGCTCATCATTTTAGAGCTTTAATACCATCTCAGAAAATGACTGAAAGTGATACACTGTTAAAAAAACTACGACTGATACATGCCTGTTGACAGGTAAAAAGGAATATTAATTTATGATAGGAAACGTCAAACAGAGCAACTCCTAAAAAGGTACAAACTCTTGTGTAATGCCCAAAGTCAGTAATGGAAATATCATGCCTTCTAAAAAAATATAACATGGAAATCGATATCTTCATTAGAATAGTAAAATCTTTTAACTCGAAAAATGTTAGGATATTTTCAACGCTTAGCCTAAATCAAGCAGTATGCTAACCTACAAGGTTTGTTATTACTTCTCAAATATACTGTGTTCCATGGTGACAATAAGCACCGAATTCCACTGCTGTGTAGTAATCTGTTTAACAAAATACCTTACTGACTCATTTAAACACCTACAATAATGTTAAGTATGATGAATAATTATGTGAACATATAGATATAAGGGGATTAACAAACATTCTGGAAGTATTAGTCAACTAAGACAGATGTTAGTAGTTGGAAGAATGCAATCCACATAGAGCCTTCAAACTAGGTTTCGTGCTTTCTGGCACTAGTCAGCAAGACCCATCTACAACCTTTACGGAATCTGATATCCCACCTGAGACTCGACCGGCATCACCCCCAGTGTCGGAGTCAAAGACATTACCACTGAGCCATTCAGACTGTGATTGACCTCCTGTACGACTGGTTAGGTATATAGATTGGTCACTGGAGGGCAATCAACTTTAGGTCGTCTAGTCCCAACTGAAAACAAAACGACTTGTAACATTAATATGAACTAAACACCAAATATTTCACATGGTTAGTTAACAAATATTATAATAAGCTTTTATCACTGTTGTGTTTTTTCCGTCAGATAAATCAACTTGTGATTCTCAACAACCAGTGGATAACGCTTTGGCGTTTGAAGAGACAGGGACTGGTTTCGAATCCCATTGGGAACAAGGTCACTGACTGTAGTGCAGGTGGGCCCAGCTGATGAGTTCCAAACAGGACGAGATGTGCGTTCTGAACTTCATTGCCAACCTCCAAGTAGACTATAATGTGCGAAATTTGCTTCACTGGAACATTACCAGAGATATGCGAAAATATTTTAGGATAATCAGCCAAATGTTATGTACTCACGTTTTATAATTGTTGATGGTTGTCGCGAAGATATACTTGCACCCTAGAGAAAAATTATGCTTCTTTGAGACAACTTGGAAAAAAAATTTTATTACCACATATGGAAGTATTTGATCAATAGTTACCATTCATCAATGTATCTCTATTGAGTTATCCCAATAAACAGTATGGTTAGGACAAAATGATTCTTGTTTTGAAATGTATTGTTGAACAAATTGAGTAGTTAGAAACCACTAAGGCTAATCCGTACATTTCGGCAGCTAACCATATCAGAGTTATCTAAACAGTGAACGGCCGTTATACTCGTCTGAGGGTGTTGCCGAAAAAATTCTGCTTAGAGATCTGTATTGTTCACATCACCTGAATCTTCCTGGCCAGTTGACTTGCATGGATTGGTACACCTAAAATAGAGCGACCAAATTGCACATGCCATGTTGACATTTTTCACAGCTGGGTTGTTTTTCAAGTGCTAAACTGTGGTGTCAACAGGGTTTCCAGGCTAGGGTTTCTGAATACTCAAGTTGTTCAGTATTAGTAGTTCATGGCACTTTTGTACCGAAGATTACATCTTGTGATCTTGACTCAGTTGTTTCCAATAGAGACCCTGTTGATGCTAAAATTAGTCTTTTGAAAAGCTAATCATCAGCTGTGAGAAATATCGACGTGTGGACCGTGTAATTTGTAAGTCATTTGCCAATTAGTCATCCTGTTTTGGCCATATCTATCCAAACAAGTCAGCTTGCCAGTCAGATTCAAATGGTTTGAATTAATTCAGCTCTATGAGCAAAATCTGTCTGGTTGCATTGCTGATGAGCTCAGCGTCAAACCGCTGAAATGACCGTCCGTTGTTTAACTCACTCTGATCTTTCTATCTAATGAAATGCCAGAGATCAGCTTGAGTGCTTTCTATAAAGTAAACATAACCACCACTAGAAACAACAAACATAATAAGTAGATTATTTAAAAAATAGAGAGAGATACTATATAACTCAGAAGATTTCTAAAAACTTTAGTGTTTTGTGCACACTGATTCGCTAGTACAGAAACAACTGTCACTAATTGACTAATCAGATCAAAACAAAAAAGTGATAAGATAGTTTATTGAGAAAATAGATAATTTACCTTTAAAAGTGATATTTCTGGGTGATCATGTACTAAATCAGTTGACTGACGTTTTTCACGATGATATAAACATTCTTGTGTTATATGCAAAGGATTTTCAGTTTCAGCTAAAGCTTTCTCTGCAATTCTCTTTGATTCAATTAATTTATTCATTTCATTGACAAGTGCATCTATCTCATTGTGCAATTCATGTTTCATGTAATTAATATCATTAATTCTTTGACCTGGTATTAAATAAATTAAAGAGTAACACGCTTAAATTTATCATAAATGTTTTGTTATTTGTCTGTATCCTCTTTCTATCTACTTTGATAGTGCAAATATTCTCAGCTTATTATTTTAGCTGGTTACTATGGCCGATAAATAAGACTTAACAGTCTACGAGCGATACGAACCTAACATGCAACGAATCTACTCTAATAGTCAGTCAGAACCCCAAGCACCATAACAATAATACCACTGATACGCGAAGACAAGAAGAGAAGACGGACCATTGACGGAGAGCTTTTACAATCTCAAAAACAGTCAAAACATTTATTGACATACTTGTTATTCTTCGTTGTTTTATTGAATCGAATCGTTCGACCTCTATTGGCGTATGGGCTCCTATGCGGATGCCTCGATATTGCCTGGATGTTAATCATGCTAATTTGGTTGTTAACCACACAACCAACCAAACAGTCAAAACAGTTGAGAGAGATGCTGAATATATATACATTTCTAAACGACCTTGACAACATTAAATTCACTTGATAAGTCGAATGAGTTACCAGCCAATGAGAGTTCAGCGTTCAAAAGCAAGCAACGGCGCCAAGAGGGCGCAAAAGCATTAATAATAGAGTTATTTTAGGGTTATAGGACATACCAGGCAAAATTTAGTCAAAGCTAGGGGTATTTCGCACTGGTTGAAAGCGAGTGACATAAAACCCTGTTCCGCCCAGGTTTCTCACTGTTTGACACTCATCACTACGACGTACCTGGAACCTCAAGAGGATTAATGTCACCTGAGAGGCTTAGACCCATTTCAACCAGTGTGACATTAAGAGGCTTAAACAATGAGAGTTTGACCCACTTAGGACTGGATTAAATAAATTGACCAGTCATTAAAGAGTGGTCAATTTTATGTTTTCAAGTCCGAGAAGCACGAGATCTAGGTTCACGGTATTCTGTCAATTGTTTCCAATCAGTTGACATCGATCAAAGTGCATAGTGATGACTAGTCTCCAGATTGGCAACCATATTCAAAAATGATCTGTAGAATCTGGTTACCGCTGACGACTGACTGACAAAATCAACGTAGAACCTCACACACCTCAAGTTGCCACACTTCACAGTAGTGAAAAAAGAAAAGGAGGATACAAGCAGACTCATACCAAGGTAGACAAAGTTGTGTGAGATAATATGCAATCTGAAGATAAATATTAGTGCAAATACTCAAGCTTTAGAAGTTGTCAGAAGAGTGAATACATCTGCGCCACTCAGACCTATTTTCAGTCATGTCACCAAGAGTCCTCAACCACTCACCCCTTACGTCTTGAGAACCCCAGCCAGGCAGTCTACATCTCCCTACACGGTTCAGACCAACAGTTAAGGACTTTATAGACTGGTGTCATGTCTTGTTCTAGCCGCCCTGAACCCTCTTCCAACCTAATTCAACTTCCCCTAGCATGTCACGTCGAGGTAGGTGGTGGCTAGGTATGAGCAGTACATCTTCAAGCCGTCTCAGCTGACGAAGGTTCGCAACCTCATAGATTGATTGGCCTAGTACCTTTCGCCTGACTTTAATCGCCACACTGATTCCACCGAACGTGAACGAACCACGAAAACATCAAACCACCAGAATAAAGTAGTTTGAATGCGCAAAATGTGAGGCTGCATGACACTACAACGTACAAAGAATTCGTTGAAGAATGGGATTTAAAATGAAAGATATTTACAAAATCTACTTCTTATATCAATACTTTTTACGAGTAGTTCTTTTTTAAATCATAGAATATTTAGCAGACCAATCTTACTAGCATTTGTAAAATCTTCCCAACTGTATTCATCCCGGATTAAACTGAATGCCTCAAGAAGGAAGTGAATCATTTTAAAAGTGGTGATTTCATTTAATCTTTTTTCAAGTAATAAATAGGTAGTGACAAAAGATAATGCGCATGGAAATTTAAAAGTGTAAACTAACTTACCAAGAAGTTTGCTAACTTCTTGTTGTGCACGTCTAACTCGGTCCTCAGCTTCCATTCCTAAGCGTGTACCATTTTCTCGTATATATTCAGCTCTCTTCCTAGCCTGCTCTGAGTTTGTCAGCTGCACCATGTTACCCCTATTCCAGTCAGCTGGTGTATATCTTGTATATAAGGTATTACGTGCAGCTGAGTAGACAGAAGGAACTTTTATGCCCTCCAATTCATGTAGTCTTGATGTTTCACCCATAACATTGACTACTGGTCCAAAGTTTGCTGATTTAATGCCATTATGATAAGATATTAGGTCAGGTGAGAAGTGAGATTTAGGACGCCAAGGAGCGAATGATTGTACATTTCGATGCGTGTAAATAGCTGGAAAACTGCCTTCTGTAAGATCATTGAACCTTCCTGAAGATCTTGACGTAGTTGATCCCAAAATGTCCGGTAAATTTGACGTGCTATGACTTAGTCTAAAGGTCTTCGAAAATAACGTTCTGTTAACAACTCCATCTTTAAATAACTTGCTGTTAAGATAGGAGAGATGATAATAATAATCATAATAACGAATGTTACTGAAGAAATGCTAGTGCAAAGTAAAAAAAATGATTCCATAGTGATGCCTGAACTCCACCGATAAGCAATAAACAAATCAAAACATGCAAAACAAAAGTAATCGTTTTGATAAAGGGATAAGTTTAGTCGTTCTTTACAGAAAATTTCCCAATCTTTAGTATAAATGAATATATTCTTCTTATTTGAGTTAGCTAATTATCTGATACCTAATCTCATTTTCCAGTCGGTAGTTATTGGGACAGGAATTTATAATACATATGGGAATGAATTCCTCACCCACTCCACCCCTATAAAATCGTGAGAGATCAAAACTCTAAGCATATGAAGATTAGTATGAGATTGCAAAAACAGACTTTAGATCATAATAGAAAATAACAATTTTAATGTATAAAGAAGAATTTGCGTAAATACTTAAAATAATTTTGTACATCAGATAACGTTTAACGGTTTTCGAAAATAAAATTACTGACTATTGGTGTTTGAAATATTGTATATCAGGTCACGCGAATACTGTTCCATGTTTCTATTTAACTGTAGAACCTTGGATTAACGGGTTAAGCTTTCATATGGGCCGCCACTAAGCCAGAGAATCAGCCTTACTTTACTGAATCCGTATTGGCATGGAGTTTTATTGTTAACTTCTTTACAAAAAGTCCAAGACATAATGTGACATAGGAGTTCGCAGACTCCTTTTACTGAGTTTCATTTAAAATGATGGAAAAGATTTGTAGGTTTGATGTTCTCTGAGCTTTGATAATTTGTCACGAACGTTTCACCATCAGCCTTGGTGACATGTTCACGACAAAATATCAAAGCTCAAAGAACACCAAGCACCATCCAGTTTCATTTATTACTTTTGTTCATTAAAACCTTACACTCTGGATTCGTTCTTTTTTAATCTTGGTTGACGCAAAAGTATGTGCAGTCCCACTTCGTCTTTTTTCAGTCCACAGCCTTTTTAACAAATATTTCAGAATTCAGCCCAAAGAAGTTACACTGAAACCATGAACTGTTAACTGTAATATTACCCTAAACAGATTAAAAAGTCTAATTCCTTAAGAAAAATGTAAGATCCTTTACTTGTAATTCTGCTTAAAGTATTCCTAACTCGTATTATACATACTAATTAAAACTACCACTTTTATAGGGAAAATAAAGAGACTATAGCAGAGATCGTTATCACATTGCATAAGAAAATCAAGCAATTTTAGAGCCCATCAAGACATTTGAGGTACGAAGAGTTTGCTAATTATTTCACAATAATTAAACGAATTTCCAACTTTCCTAACATTTTCATGAAAGTGACTGTTGAATTGTGAATGGTGACAATTTTATTGCAACCATGAACCTTACCCTAGAAAATTCCTGCATAATTAATTATAGATAACGGCAAATACTTTGCCGTTTTCAAATATCACCGTCATTTATTTAATGTTCGTTCTTCTGACTCTGGCAACTTATCGGATCACAAAGTAAACCAAAAAACGCCTTTTCCCATGGCCAGATAGTATTGATTTTGTATCTTTATAACCCGAAAGTTTCCTGATATTGTAAGGTGAAACACTATGGTCTCAGGATTTCCATGAGTTTTTATATCATACATAGCAGGAAACTCAATTTCCTCAAGTGTTAGGTCCACCTGTAACTTTTGATCTACATTCCCTTCTGTCTTTCAAAAATTCGGTGCAATAAACGACCAATAGCAACGATTCTACTGATGCTTCTCGAAAATTACTCACCCCCTAAGGTTAAAATCACTCAATTATAATTTATTAACTCTCGTTCCAAAAAATTGTAATTAAAAACAAGTCAAAGGAGTGTACTACTGGGAAAAAGCAAATGAAATCATTTGTGCTTACAGGTTTCGCATGCTATATTACATTGATATTAAGTGTGAACAGTCATTTTACTTGGCCGAATCGAAGATCATGGGTGGCATATGCAAACACATTCACTTCAAAACGTTAGACAGTCAAAATCCCATTGGTGAAACCTATTACCGAATTTCAATGGTACGTACATAGGTTATTCAGAAGTATGTTGAATTTATGGAAATTCACTCATCTCTGGTGCTACTTACACAAGCAGAAGGACGATTCAGTTCATGAAGATGAAGAATACATTGATGAATTTATCTTCATTTAATAACCTGAATATTTGTTCTTCCAGTGGTGCCAAACAGCAAGACATTTAACTTGCCTTAATTACTTACAAGAAGCCTAAAATGTGTAAACCTGCACAGAAACCAAATAGCTGTGCACATAAAGCCAATGAACCTACATACTGGTATCTGAAAGAAACGACTGAGTGACGATAACCAAATAGCATAGTGATGAAGCGACCTTAGTATATATGACTTATAAGTGCCACAACAGAAGTAACAGTTGAGGTGAATTGTTATTTTCTGGTTGTGAAATCTCTGAGAAGCAAACGTAAGATGGTGAAAATTTCGAACTTTCTCAAGACTCGGTTGTGGTGAGGCAAAAATAACACTATCCATACATATTAGTTCTTACTTCTTATTAGTTCCGTTATCTAGTTTATGACAAAATATTTTGAATACAAGTGCCAAGCTCCTGTTAAAAAGTTAATACCATTTTCAGAATGTCAGCCTTAAAGTCAGTGGTCTAAAGTTGATCAACGATAGAACAGAAATTCATGTCACTGCCACAATAAGTTTAAGGATAACCTTAAATAAACAAAGCGAAATATTTAATGGACGGCTTGAGCCGTGTACGCCTGCACTTGTTCAGTGCAACTCATTTCTGTTTCCTTTTTGATTTGACTACCATAGACACCTGACATATTCAAGTATACACATAACACTTGAAGAAGCGAGTTTGAGATCAGAATACTTGATGGATACTAAAATATTCAGGAAAAGTATATATTACGAAATCATAGCTCAAAACACTGGTGGTTAGGTGACATATCTGGGAAAGTAATTGGATGGCAAATATATAAAGCTATTCAAAAGCATTTCACCCTTGTTAATTCACAATACGTCTCGCGCTGCGAGGTGTCCGGTTACCTATTAAGGGTCAAGTGCGTTGTGCATTAGTTTCCTCAGTCTTACTACATGGCTGTGAAAAGTAGCCATTACAGATGGACAAAATTAGAAGAATTTAGATGTGTGACTATCATTGCCTGGATAACACCAGCCCTGCAACGTTATAAAACCACCAGACTAGTAACGTAGACGTCAGACGTAGCGTCTAGGATAGAAGATTCAAGTAAGCTGGTGAAGTTGTGGATACCTAGTCACTACTTACCTCATGGTGCAGCAGTACTTACAGTGGTTTTAAGCTGGAAAAGCGTTAGGGGCAACCAAACTAAGACTTGGTATGAGTCCATAGGCTCTTACTGCTGGCTTGACCCATGTGATGAAACGAAAACTTTCCAGTTGAAGCACATATGATAACCGAGATTGGTAATTGTAGACTCAAAGTCATACAGCTAAGAATATATCTCACAAAAGTAAATACTTCTTCACATTATCTTCTTCTAGTCACCTTATAGTATTCCATCATTATTTCACACATCTTTTCTCTCCTCTAATCACTTTCCGTGAGTTAATTACATTTGCCTATCCAATTTATTTGTTTTTCATCCATGAGTCGATTATCTTGATCTGCTCATCTGAGCTGTGGTAAATTAAACCACCAAGCAATAATCCTACGTCCCATAATGACACCGGCGGATAGGCTGAGAATATTAGGTATAGAGTAATTTCCATTATTTTACCGACATAAACAAGAGGTTCTTACTTAGCATGTACATTTGAATTATAGAGTTTACAAGGCTTTAACCAAGTCGCTATGCGATTCAGGAAAAAGCTACAAATATATTTCTATGAGTCAAAGATTCAAGAAACGCATATAATATCTAAAGCAGTCTGCCCGGGTAATCTACTGAATTCAGTTACGGAATCAGAACGCATTTTCCAAATCTGAACTGGCAAAGCCCACTCCACGACTTTAGAAAGTGAAGTTAACAAATACATGATTCCATACACATAGAAGTTATTCAATAAACCTAGTTGCCTCATACTCCCAACACCAAAGGTGGTTTCTTTGACTAATATCTTTTTCTCATGCGCAAAAACCTTATCCGTATTTATAGATTTTGTTAAACTGTGGATGCTAAAGGAAAATGCTGACAAATGTGACCGAATAACTTGCTGTCAGTTTGCATAATAAACCATAGGCAACGTTGCTTGTCAAGGCTTCTTGTGCTACCAGACATTTGAGACTGAAACAAAGACGGAGAGATAGACCGAGAAAAATTAGTGAGTAGTTGTGTCAATTGAGGTAAAACGTTTGACCATTTCTAGTGCCAAGAAGCTGAAAGAATTAGTGACCATCGTGTAATCAAGTGGTTGTTGAGACAATTGAGAAAGATTTCAGGAGCAAAAGAAGGGAGAAAGAGGGAGGATAGCAACACGGCGAATTAACGTGATGAAATCAATACCAGAAATACCACACAACGATGGTCTAGGTTTAGCTAGTGTTAAAAAGAGAAGCAAATAGTCAAAATCCAAGTAATTTCTTAAATCTCAGAACGTACTTCTAACGTTTGAAATTGCAGCTTATTGACTCGCCTGGTTTTACCGCTGTAACAACGAGTTGCTACCAACGACTATAACACAGGTTGAATACTCAATACTTGTGTGAT